TATCTACAAATGAACTTGCCATCATTGTTCGCGCTACTAAAAATGCAAATCTTCGCGAAATGTGTCCAATTATCGTCGATACCTTATCGGGGTCAACACACTTGGCGTTATCGACCAGAAAACAGAACTTTATTCTCAGGAACATTTGGGTACTGTATCTCCAACTCAATTCAAAATGACCCGCTCGACTATCGAGTGAGCATCAAGTCAATCTGCCCTTTATTGCCATTTCCAAACTTTCCAATTTCTATACTACTAACTTACCTTAGTTGTGGCTGTAGGATGGGAGTTTTTCGGATCCTCAGCCTGTTACTCTTCGCTCCCCAACTATTTCAGCATGGTCAAGCCTACAACATCGGTATCGGCCAGAGCGACATTACTGGTCCTGCCGCTACAATCGTCATGATGGGTTTCGCCGACTCAACCGAGACAACTCAAGGGATTCTAAATCGCGAGTATGCTCGTGCCTTCCTGATCGAAGACGCGGACACCAACAACAGAGTCATGTTCGTGCATTGCGATCTGATGTCGGTCATGCAACTCGTCCACCAAGAAGTCCTCACGAAACTCGCCTCGAAATATCACGGCCTGTACACGGAGCAAAACGTTATTCTACATGCATCACACACGCATGCCGGCCCTGGAGGTACCGCAGGGTATTTCCTCTACGACGTCTCCATCTTAGGATTCGTGAACGACACTTTCGAGAAGATCGTCAGCGGAATCCTGGAAGCCATCGATGCAGCGCATCATTCCATGGAGAATGGAACTATTCGTTGGAACAAAGGTGAAGTGGTCAAGGGTGGTAATAACCGCTCTCCCAAGGCTTACCTGGCCAATCCTGCATCCGAGAGAGCGCTCTATGACAGCAACATTGACACGACAATGCGCGCGCTACACTTCTATAACGATGAGGGCAAGCTTCGAGGCGTTTTGGCCTTCTATCCTGTTCATCCGACAAGTCTGACGGGGAAGAACCATCTTATCAGTGGCGACAACAAGGGTTACGCTGAATTTTTGCTGGAAGACGAGCTAGATGATGTTATTGTGGGGATTGGAATTGCGAATGCTGGAGATGTTAGCCCGAACTTGGTTGACAATGGCAACGGTACATTCCGTGGCGAAGGCAAGACTTTGATCGAGTCTGCAGAGATCATGGGGAAGCGGCAGTATGATACGCTCTCTGCACTCATCGAAGGAGACTCGGAGCTTATTGAGGGCTCTGTTGTGGCCAATCTCTCCTATATCGACTTTGCTAAAGTTTCTTTGAATGGAGTTAATGCCACCGCCGATAACCCGTACGCCGATAGAACTTGTCCCGCTGTCCTCGGACAGAATTTTGGTGCCGGTACAGAAGATGGTCGAGGGGTCGGGGGATTCACGGAGGGTGATCTCAAGGCCAACAAGCTCTTTAGAACACTGGGAGCTATCATCAAGAAGACACCGAAGTGGGTGCAGGACTGTCAGGACGTCAGCAAAGTGCCACTTCTAGCTGTCGGACTAATGGAACCGAAGCCGTGGGTACCGGCAATTCTACCTGTACAGATCGTCAAAATCGGCCAGTTCGGGATCGCTGTGACCAACTTTGAGACTACAACCATGTCTGGCCGACGAATCCGAAAGACGGTGAAGAAAGCTCTGGCAGCAGCTGGTGTCAAGGAAGTTGAGTTGGCTTCTGTCAGCAACGGGTATGCAGGGTACATGACCACGAAGGAAGAGTATCTCACGCAGCATTACGAAGGCGCATCCACTCTTTTTGGGCCGAATCAACTGGCTGCAGTACAACAAGAGCTGGCTCGAGTGGCTGCATCGGTGGTCGATGCATCTAATTCATTGGATGTG